AGCTGGTACAATACGTATCGATCATGCTGATAGAGTGATGCGTACAATATGGAGTACAAAATAAAGAAGAAATCACTCAAGACGAAGAAATTGTTTGCTAAATACCGCCTATTACAAGTTATGGGCCAGAAAACACTTTGCCTACTATGTCATCGGCCAGGGTGTTGAAGGCCACGGAGTCGGCGGTGCTAAGGAAATCTTCAGTCAGACGCTCATGATCCCCAGGGTGCACCGCATTCGGGAAACCGTGAGGAAGAAGTTGAAGATTGTGGCCAGAATGAGCCTGTGCGGCAGCCAACACCGTGGCAGCACCATGACGGACGCCATGAAGAGCGACCTCCCTGACGCGATTTGGGATGTCATACAGGCGAACTATTGGGACGGCACCTCTAGCGTTGACAAATCATGTCGCGTACTCCGTAGCTAGTTGAAGGCTCTTCAGTTGGGCGGACAAATCTGAAAGGTTCAAAAGAGAGATGATCAGAATCCTGAAGGTGAAATTGAAAGGAAACGAAGGTTATGATATCTCACCCATGATTCTGGCCTCGGCTTTGGCCAATTTGTCATCCACTGAATCAGCCACGGGAGGCAATCGGCATCGAGCCATGGCCAGGGTTGATTCTGCGAGAGAGAGACATTCGGCAAGACCTTGGCCGTGATTGTCGATGGTGGCGAGCAGGTCATCATTGTCAATCTGCTACCTTGGGTAGCAAGGAAGCTGGCGATAAGCTATCGACGAGGAAGACCCCAGAGGCCGAACGGAGTCGGCCCTATAACCTGAGGTAGTGGGCGCATCACGGGCTACACCCTTTTGACGATGAAGGCGCTGGCGCGATGATGCAGATTAGTCGAGAGCCCCCTCAGCAGACCTTTTGTTGTTCTCCATGATCTCAAGCTTATGGAAAAATAGGGACTATACTAAGGATGCCGAGGGATTGAGACGAAGCGGGTTGTTGCTCGACCCTCAGCCATAGCCCGTACATATAGCCCGGGGAGGCGAAATCGGTTTCGCCAGAGGTATGGAATTGAAATCAGAGATGGAAACGGATCGACACTCCAGGAATTCAGGGGACGGATAACGAAGAGGTAACAGATTTGAACTTATCGCTTCCCTAAGTTACCAAGCATCGTGGGACGGATACAAAGAATTTGCATGGATCAGAGATCAACCCACCAAGGCTTCTTTTGGATTGAAGGAAGTCCTGGATCCCCGCAAGGCCGAGGATCATCATAAACCAAGTTACATCGGCCCATTAATAAGATTATGCCAAAGAAAGGGAAAAGCCGCCTGACTAGCAGATACCCAGCTGATTTCTCTGTGACTAGGAAACCGCTGGAAAGAAGCTTGTGGATTTCCCGATAGGCATTTGATGGAACAAACAAGGGAAAAGTGTCCACACATTCTAGCCCTTGCAAACACTAGAACAGCTCTGCGAGCCTGGTGAGAAGATGTAGGCGATATCACAAGACTTCTTCTAGCCGCAGCAGCTGATTCTCTTGCTCGATAAGGTGCTAGAATGAGAGACACAATCACCCTATGCACAAGAATTCTTCTAACCGCTCAAGATCTTTATCGCAAAGAGATAGGCATGGAGGGTCCAACGGAGTTGGGAGCACTCGAAAAGACGGATGGAAGAGAAACATGGTTGAAGTGGTGAGTTGCTCTCGCCAAGGTCGGATAAGCGTTTTATAGCCGGCCCGGAAAGATGGATCCAAATGACCGTGAAACAGTGATGCTCTTGTAAGAAGTTTTGAGGCATAGGCTCATGAATGGACGCAAGCAGCGACAAACAGTGGGCCCCAGATCAAGGTTCTCTACTCGTGACTGTGGACCAATCAGGGATGCAGACATGATAATTTTAGGATAAAATTACTTTTATCCCAAAATTGGGGGGCATGTGTTTACACCATAATTTGGTAGAAGGATCTCAGAAGCTCGAGCGCTCCCAAAATCATGTCAGCAAGGGATCGATTGCGTGCAGATCGAAACCAGCTGATTCGGATGCAGCACTAGAATCGACTTTCTTCATATAGCGCCAGTAGATAACGACAGATGCTATGATCGGCGCTGGGACGAGACATGCTGGACTCTACAAAAAGGGAAAGATTAGAGTCTAAGTTATCTTAAATTAGGAATGTTTTCATTATACCAAAGATTGTATTGAGTCGTATTCGAGTAAGGTTCGTTTTTAGGCTCCGGGTATAAATACCAAACCCCGGCTATTGTAAGAGAGAACAATCAATCAAATACAAGTCAATTACTTTTTTAGGCTCCGGCTACCCCTTAGGAGTAGGAGTAGAGTAGATCTCGATGAGTTCTTCAACGAAGTACAATTTAGACGATCCGGTTAGAGCTCCACCGCTTGTCTGTATACATAAGTACCGTCATGGTTTATACCTCTGTTATGTATGGTTGCATCGATCCGAATCGACCCCCCATCGCGCGACTTTGGTATAGGCCTAGTTATCGACTCTTGTCTAATTCAAGTATGGCATGTGTGATTCTACCCTCACCCCACTGCTTGAATTAGATCAAGGTCAAGTTATTGGCTCTACCTTGGTATGGCAGTCTTTGGTAGATTCATTAAGTTACCGATATTGTTTATTGCTTTCATTGTTTATCTAATTACAGCAATATCACTCTACCCGATTGAGATTGATCTGGATCGGCCTTATATCTTGTTTAACTCATCGTTTGCTAATCTAAAATTGATCTAATATACATCTTAAACGATGAGTTATGTTTTTATCGGCTGTTTTGCGTCAATCTTAATCGTGCATAGCGTGCGGTTAAGGCATGTCCGATCTTGAGTAGATCTATTAGTTAATGAAAATCGTTCCATGGCCCGTCATCACGGCCTGTGGGATTCTGCCTCTCAACCCACTGTTGGCACCGTGGAGTGGGGATCGTTAGTTGGTAGACCTGTTCCTGAGAAGGCATGACCTTAACTGTGTGCTATGCCTGAATCGACTGTTTAGCCGATATCGAATGCTTTCACGAACAGTTCACATTACGAGATCATTGAAGTAGAGATAAGTTGAAAGATATGTTAGCCCCATGATCTTATTATTGTATTACGGCCTGCATGATTCTGCCTCATGTCTCATTGATATTAGTAATGTGTTAGGGTCGTCGAGTCTATTGTTGTTTCTACGGCCTGCATGATTCTACCTCATGCCCCACTGGTCATGGCGATAGATAAGATCTAACATGTTCATTAGATTTATCTTTATTAAACGATCAAGTGATGTTGAATTGTTTCTTTATATAAAAAGGAGTTCGGTTACTTATAATCATTGGCTCAGTATAAACCGATCATCATTGATATCTTATTGTCATTGATTAATATTAACTTAAATAATATTTATCCTGAATGATAACCGATTCTTCTTATACAACCTCATGAGCTTTAATCGATTTATTCTTATGAATATACTGGAATCGACGATTTAGTCGATCTCCTCTTATATCGGCTCTCAAAGCTCGCACATTCGGGACTGTCTGGCTACACCGGCACGCTCCGCCCTTAATTACTGATGAGCTTTCTCTCATTGTCAATTGCAGGGTCAAATTGACTGGCACACGTCTTGGGAGGATTGCGCAGGATCGACCACCCTTGCGCTAAAGCTAGGCGGATCTGCTCCATCGAGCGGACCCTTCCAACTTGCTGTGTGTGTCGTCGGCACGGAGACGAAAATTTTGTGTCGACAATGCTAAGTGAAACAAAAAAAAAATACTAGGGTCCTCCCTCATGTAAATAAGGTCCCGAGACAAACTTAGCAAAGGGAAGAAAAGATGCATGTACCCCTATGTTTTTATCCTACATTGACACTGTGACGCTAGTTTTTATTCTCTTTCATCCGCATGACAGGCTTGGCACTCTTTGTAGCCGGGTGGATTCACAAGGAGCAGCCTTTTTTTTGCTAGTGGGTCCACAACTGCTAGCTCTTATGGGTCTAAAATTGCATCCTTTGTAGGACATCCTTCTGGTCGTAGAATTGCATGCTGAATAATATTTCTTTGATTGGAATTAGTTGTATATCATTTATTTTTATTTCATTAAACCTTAATTTACTTTGAAATACATATTAACATCTTATTTTATGCCAATCATCAGCTAATACCATTGTTAATATGTTAATACGTGCATCCCGCAAGCCTGGCTCTGGAGATACGGACTTCATCATGTTTCCCGTGAGCCAGGCTTGCTGGGCAATTTTGCATCCACGCCGGCATCGATACAACTAACCAGACTATTAAAGGCCTTGTCCACTAAGAGCAACTCCATTATATATTTTTTTAGCAAGGTGCATGGCTAGCCATGCTATACTACTTAAACAAGCTCTAAAGTATAAATCTATTAGTCCATACTAAGTTGTGCTCTACATATAATAAAATATATGGTATCCTAATTTTTCCTCACTTGGATGATGGATGGAGAGAGAATGGATGGTAGAGTTTAAAAAATATATTATTTGTTCATTCTCTTTTTTTTTGACAAAAGCCTGGAGCAAGCCTACGAGTACCAGGCAAAGTAATAGCATAAATGTGCTCAATGCATGTTTTCTTCCCACACTTTGGGTGACAATGCAAACACTGCAACAAGGTAATACAAGATGACTCAACTCGAAACATTCAAAGATTTGTTTGTCACTACTCAGATACAGTAGATGAAAATTTTGCTTGCATTGAACAAGAATCAGATGTCCACTGTCGTTGAGCAACCAATGGCAGAATACACGAGCATGACACAGATCAAATCAGCAGATTGTTAATTTGAAAAGACATGAGAAAGGTTTACCACAACTAGACTAAAGAATGTTTTGAAACCTCAACAACAGTACAACAAGCACACATGCTCCGAGTGCCAACCATGCTTACATTCATCTCCAATCCAATCTAGGAAACAGCACATGCCCTGCTTATTGGTAGCATGCTCCGGGTTGGATCGAATCTGAACCAACCAGAGTTGCTGCTGCTGTTGCCCAGCAGTCTCCTTTTACTGCTCAACCACCTCCCCTGCAGGAGTGGCAACAGAAGAAGCCCCTGCCTGCGCCACAGTTCGGGTGAAACTTGGAGGCAGCTCGTACAGCACGTGGCTACCCTCTGATTCACCCAGGTAGGCTTGCCCCAGACAATAGCCCAGTGCACGGGCAACAGGTACCGCCACTGCGTTACCAACTTGAATGTACCTATTGTCATCAGACAAAGCACATGTTCAGGGTAAGGATTTCAAGAGATGTAACTGTAACTGGCCGATCAATGGCTTCTGCGCACATTTTTCAAGAGAATTGATTGGGTACAAGCAAACTGAAAAGAGGAACTTACTTCTCCTTGATCGGACCAAACAATCGGTAGTAATCAGGGAAGCCCTGCAATCTTGCATTCTCACGGACAGTCAGGACTCTTGCTTGAGTCGGATGCAATATAATCTGTGGACAACATGTTCGGTCAGAATCATTTGAGGATCACAAAAGTAGTAAGCAGAGATTCAGAACAAACGGGATTTTGTAATCAAGCTTACCTGGTTGTGAGGCTCTGCTCTGGTCACAACTGTAGGAACTGTCTCATCCCACCACAGGCGCCCAAATGGCCTACAACATCACATGCAAGGACAATTAACCAATTTCCTTCTTATTTAGAAAAGAAAGCATGACAATTACCACTTACTTTGGTGATTTGCCCTTGATGAATGACATCGCATAGTCAGGAACCTGGACAATTTTAACCACAATTTATGCAAAATGTCATCATGTCTTAACCACAATTTTACTATACTTGCAGTGTCTCATCACTCAAGTTTGAATCTTTGAATATCTAGCATAAACATGATGCGCTTTTGTGGAAACAATTATATTGAGGACAGCACAAAATTACACATACCAATGGTTTCCCAGACGACAGGTACACACGCTTGATTTCTGGATCCCACTCAACAACATTATTTGCTCCAACTTTGACACCCTTTAGGTCACGGAAGTTGGCTCCCTGTGATAAGAAAGAGCAATGATTGTTTCAGAAGGAGAAATGACAAGGGACACGCTATCAAGCCACAAACCTTCTTGACAGGAATCTGCTGCACCCGCTCGTAATCATCATTGTTTAGCCGTAAGGGCTGATGATCCAAGAGTTTACCTTCATCTGGACCAGCCTCCCCACCGAAAGACCAGTCCAACATGTCTGGAAGAATAAAATAGAGTTAACTTGATGCAATAGTAGCTAAGCATGATCAGAAAAGGTGGTTCTTCTGAAGCTAAATGCTACCATATAGCACACTAGGTCAACCAGTAGAGTTCACTGGGCCTTTTACCTTTACGACCAAGTCGAATGTAGCGCTGGAACTCTGTCTTGGGGGAACCACCATACTCCATTACATCATTAGGCTGATGGTTCTCTACCTGCATAGAAGAGTAAGATTGCATGTACATTGAAAAATGTATGAACTTTACAAAAAACACTTACCTCTGGTAGATCTGAAATTGCATCACCAAGAAGCAAAGCTTTCTTCAGGGATGGTTTTTGTGTCTCATCATATGCAACAATACATTGCTGCAAACAAAATCAGTTGATCAGCAAATCTTACAGGTCCCAATAGATTTCAAAACTATGATTGCACTTACCAAAAAAGCATTAGGGGCTCCTCCACGTACTACAACATCATATGTAGGCAGAGGATACTTCGGGAGCACCTACATAGTCAAATAAACCTGATCACCCAGCAGTCAACAGCGCAATATAAATGTAGCAAGCATACAGAGTGGCAAGAAATAGAACAGACCATAGAAGAAAGAGCACCCCAGAGGAACACACGCATCCGAAACTGTGGCAGGCCATAACAGCCTGCCACCATCATTCCAAGGCGTGCTTGATAGTTCATCGCAACTAGGCAGCTCAAAGCATATCTTCCCAGGTAGCCATCAGCAAACTTGAGTATATCCACAACGTTTTCCATGAGAACATACTTGGGCTTCAAGTATGCCACAATATCCATGAAAGTCACCATTTGCTTGTTTTTTTCATCTTTAAGTGGCTCATTGCGGTTTCTGAACCGATTAAATCCACTAATCCCTTGACATGGTGGTCCTCCACAAATGACATCAACATCACCCTTTTAAAAGAATTGAGGAGGTTATGTGGAGCTAAACAAAAAGGGATGGAAATCAAATTCAAACAAATACTCACAGGCAGTGGCAGAATTTTTCTCCTGTACCCTACTTGTACAAAATCTCTAATTTTCAGTGGACAGTCACTGGTTTATGAAACAAGGATTAGAGTTCAAATAGATGTACCAGGCAACAAGCAGATGATATACCAAATACTTACCTCAGATTATCAATGGGCTCCCATGTGTCCTCTTCAGGACCATATCCCTCCCAATGGACCTGCAAAAATCTAGTCTTACAACAAAATCTACAGAAATATCCATTGTTTGAAAGGCTTCATTTTTTTCATATTCTGATAGTAATTGAACTTACTTTCTCACAAATTCTCAAAATCAAAATTGTATGCATTTAAGTACAAATGAAGAGATAGCTCTTAAATACCTTAAAATAGAGGCCATTATCCCTGCCACTGCCACCATAACATATCCCAATAAGCTTCTCTACAACAAATTCATCCTTGTCAAGTGGGCTGCTTCCGTCCTCTTCATTTTCCGAGCCAGCTAAATCTGAACCCACGTCTTGATGGACATATTTGTCACACAGGACTGACCATTCCTTAATCAGAGCAAGAAAATCATCGGCTTTTTCATTCCGCACCTACATTCAAAGACCCAAAGATACTTTCAATTATCTTTGATAATGGAGTGCTGGCTCTCTCTCTCCCTCTGAATGGATGCAAGGTCTTCAAGGAGGAACTTGCTACTAGAGATGTATAGCCCTTATACATGACTTGGCTTGAGGTCTAAGTTACAAGTCATGTGCAAGGGTTATATATCTCTAATACTCTGGTTATACTAAGAGCAAAGCTTAGGGTCAAACTTTCATTAGAAGATTGGCTAAGTAGTTTTAGATAACATTTTAGGTTCTTTATTGGGCCCAGGGCCCATGTAACAGATCCTTTCAAGGAAGCTGCAACACCAATCCTTGAAGTTGTAAGCTTGTCTCACCTAGCCCCCTCAGCATGCAAATTACTTTATGAGATCTCTAACTTTATCTGGTTTGCAACATAACTGATGGGCACCAAACTAGTGCAATTAGGCTTATACATACCACATTGGCATCTATATTTATCCAGTTGCTTGAACTAGTTCAACCCAAAAGTTTAAATTGATGGGGATTACTCAGGCCTCAAACATGGAAATAGGAATCTCATACAATTATTATAGTTAATTGCGCCCATCAGAATTTGAACTCGAGAACTCCGTCATAATATCATATTGAGTTGTACACAACAGCCAATTCAAACCAAAAGTTTAAGGTGATGGAAAAGGTGGGCAATTCACTTTATATTTCAACAATAATCTCATCCACTCTTCTCCATCTTGTAATAGGCACAGATCTGCCACGAGTAGGTCACTGCGGTGATTCACTATCTCCTATGCTGCTAGGCCTTAACAAACGCGACAATAACAGTCAGGGTCAAGGTGGGCAATTCAGTTTATATTTCAACAATAATCTCATTCCTAAAAGACACTTTGTAAGAGTACAGAAGAGACGGAATCCAAGGCAATGTTTTCTGATCATCCGATTAATCGCAATTAATCATCCTTATCAGTACTTAGCACCTGATTAGGCCCTCCGATTCGATCAGAGCGATCAGAAACCTGATCGTCCGATTAATCGTCGAATACTCGCAATTAATTGTCCGATTAGGTCTATTTGCCGATCAACACTAAATAGGCAGATGGGCTACTTCAGTTTACTAGGCTATATTTATTTGGGCCAGGCCCATTAGGGTTCCTCTTATATACCTCACCCCCACTCTTTCTCTCTTCAGTCCTCAGTACTCCTCACTCCCGCTGTGTGTGCAGCTGAGCTCCATCTCTTCCCTGCTGCGTGCATCTCACTCCCTCCTCCCTCCCTTCCGGTTCCAATCAAGCAGCCCATCCATGGATCTTCCCTGCTGCTTGCTGCTTCTTCCTCCTCCTTCATTGCTGTGGTCGCTTATTCTCTTCCCCACTGCGCAGTTGCAGTCCGGGAGCAGCATGAAGATGAGCTCCTCCTTTGAAGGTGAGTCATTAAATCAGCTTTGTTCTATCATTTCATCATCTCCTTTCCTCTCGCACTATGCTCAAATCTTGATGCTTTGTTTCTTTGGCTCTTTCTTTGAACTTGCGTAGATGAAAATCGAAGGCGGCAAAATTGCATGGAAGTCATCATGCCCGGGCCTAATCCTGAAGGAGGTGCTGGTGCAAACTCATCAATTGCATCAGGTGGTGTTGGTGCAAACCAATGTGTTGTTCATTATTTTTTATACAGTTCCACACCAAAAAGAGGAACAGATTAGAGCACAAGAGGTTAAATAAATTGATCTATGTCAGTTACAACAAAAAGATGTCAAACAGGTTTAAAAAAATCAGAGAGCTTGGTTGCAAAGGACAGAAGAGCAACCCTCTCACGCTAAATGAATTTCAGTGGGATAATGAATGGGTGGATGAGAATTGTGAGGAATCGATTTAGAAATTGCTTGTTGATGAAGCTATTGGTGCATCTAAGAATCTACAAGGCCACAACTTGCCTAGAAATTGCTGCTTTGCTCATCTGACAGACCTCTCATCGACCAGATGTATACCGAAGTGTCCAAGGACTCTGCGCAACTGCGATTCTTTGCTCGAGATAGCATTGATGATGAAGATGATGACCATGAAGCATAAGTTCAGCCAGATACATCTAATGCTTAAGTAGGAATGGAGGTGGATGGAGACTCGGGTGAAGATGGAGGAGGCTTCAATTTGGATGATGATTTGCTTATTTAGATTTAGATGGCTACTGAATGCTGATTGAATGGCAGCTAGTGTTATCTTAAAAACTCTGAATATTGTTCGCAGTGTTTAATTATTTAGTTTGTAGTATGTACTCAGTACTTATACTATATTAAGTAAGTCATGGACTATGCTAGTTTTCTTAATTCCTACTTTTTTCGGATCTGGATTGAGTATGTCTTTCAGTAATCTTTGTCGATCATGTCACACTATTCTTTTGCATCTACTTACTCAAGTTATCTATTATTCCTGCAGAAAATCAGCAAACATATGGAGGCTAGGACAAGAATATGGAGTCAGATCTCATAGGTAAGTAACCAACTAACTAAAAATATGCTCGATGTCTACTATATAAATATATAGTATATGGTATTATATATATATATATACTTATATAGTCCTGTTATATATACCATACATATATGATATATACTTATATAGTCTTGCTATATGCTAGACAATTATATGGACGATTAGACCGATCAAAGGTCAATTAATCGTCCTGATCGTTGATTAATCGTCCTAATCGGTACCAGACCGATTAGGAACAATAAGCCAATCAGAAAACATTGATCCAAGGTGCAGTTTACTACCCATACCTCAGTTTGTGGATGATTGTACTTTAAACTTTGGCATGCAAAACTGTTAAGGTCAACAGCCCATCGCTGTAATGATAGCCAAAAAAAAATGAGTGATGAGACTGAAACATATTCTATTGAATCCTACAAAATAAAATACCATCCAACAAATGACAAAGTAGAAAATTACAGTTTCAAGATTCAAGCCGTAACGATGCAAAGACCGAAGCAAAGGCCAAGGTGGACATGCCCCCACAGCCAGAATACAAATCAAGAAGGGTTGCTGTCCTCCCTGGCCTACCAGATGACGTCTCCAAATCCACATCATCAGAAGAAATACCAGAAGTAGTTTCGCTACCAGATTGGCCATTTTCTAATTGACAAAAATAAGTGTTAGGGATTTGTAAGAAAAAACATAAACAAATTGATAAGTTTGTCATCATAGACTGTTTAGAATCCAGATCAATGTTAATTATTGAGCTACATGCACCAACTAGACACACTTAGGGTGTGATTGGTTTCTAGCCTGGCTTGTACCGAAGACCCAGGCTACCGCTCGCTAGGCTTAAAAGATGAAGCAGGTTTGTTTGATTGCCGTTTTCATCCAATAAGGCCACATAGCGAAGCATTTTGGTTTCTCTGCCAACACCACTCTCATCCAGCATCGAGTGCGCTCACGCCGGCACCGCAACAACCAGGCCTAGCCAAAACAAGGATTTTTCACACATTCATGGCTGATACATTGAGGCTAGGAGTGCGGGGAGTGGAAGGTGATGTGTGAGAATGGTGTCGACTGGGTGGGAAATGAGTGTTGGTAGTGTTAGGACATCGTTAGGAGATATGGTGCTTAGATAGGCTAGTGGGATTTGCTAAGACAATGGGCCGAGTGGGCTATGTAGACATAACTATTCATTTGTCATATTTTCTTTCATATATGCAGCTAATCTCCTGATACATAGCTAGTGTTGCTCATAAACATTTAGTCATGTTTAATCAACGATTAGATGCTAGACAATGACCTAGCACCTACCTAACGCCCACCATTTTTTATAACCACAAGCTTTTGGAAGTGCACCAACTTGTGGCATACTCACAATATACATTCAAAGATTCAAGAGCTAATGCATAACTAGGGGTATCAAATTCTACCAATGGAAAAGGTAACCAAAACAACACAATTGCAAGAATGTAAGGCAATTTCCTCCTACGCTACTACTGCAATTACCTGATGGTATATTAGCAAATGTAGAATATTCAACGGAGTAAGACATATCATAGTATAGGTCGCAATGCTCTATTAGTTGGGCTTTGGCTTTTGAATCCATCTAAGGCAACAAAACAAGCACATTTTTGTTAATTAGAAATTTAAATTCATAAACTATTATTGGACATATAAAGGAAACTTACATTTGGATTAACATAGACTATCTTGATCTTCGAGATTATGCAATCAAGCGCATTATCATTCTTTTCCTTGGAAAGAAAAACACGTCTAGGATCATGCTTGTGTCCATCAACATTTATCGACACCAAGGAATTGATAACCTGCAAAGATAGGGTTCAATTCTTTGCTAGTTTTTGACATACAGAAAAATAACCCAATGCTTAAAACACACCGTGTCCTCTGCTCGAAAGAACCAACGACAGGTAAAATAGTGACATTGGTCAATCCCCTCAAAAAATTCAGTAATGCGACCAATGTAGTCAACCTCGTTTTCTCCAGCCTGTGATAGGCAAAAATGAATCAGAAATTTAAATTCATAAACTATTGTTGGACATATAAAGGAGTGACATCATAGCAAAATCATCCAGTTATACTTTAGCAACCTTTATTTTGAGCATTTTTGTTAATGCATAATCAATGTTGATGTCCAATTATATTAGAAAGAACTTTCATCAAAGTTAGAATTGATAAGATAAACTATATTCTGTTTTATAATATCAGATATCACAATGTATTGTAAGCAAGCACTGACACATGCAAACTAAATTCAGAATTAAGCAAAAGTTTTAGATACTGAAAACCAGGACATTTAGCAGCTTTAAAAAGGTAGAACAGTGCATGTTCAAAAGGATCCAGCTTTTAACAGCAGCCTATGCACAAGGCCTAGCAACAGAACCAAATAAGACAAGCAGAGCAACAACAGAATCAAACAAGACACCAAGCAGAGGATTGTGTACAGACAGACATTCAAAGCACCCCTTTATGTATGAATAGCATAAACCACTTGCTAGACACACATCACTAGAAATAAATTTTAAAAAGCAATTCATCCTTCCATCAGTGACATGAGCCCAGCAAAAGACAAGAACAAGAACATCATAAATATAAGATGGGACATAAGTAATCACTAATGTATGTAAATTAAGCAAAGGCTTAAGAAATGTTTAGCGTCATTTCAAAGAAGAATGAGCAATTTTTATAGCATTCCACATACTGTTACATAAGAACAAAGAAATAAGTGGATAAGACTGCAGTTCAATGGAACCAAAAGCATCAGGTAATTACCACAACCTAAACAAACGTGTAATAGTTATCACACAATTTCATGGTAGCATTTCCTTGTTGCTTTGCAAGCAAATATGACATATGTAAACTGCACAAGCAGCTAAAAATGGCATACCCAGTACTGAAAGCTCCCACAAAAATTTGGGTTAAAGGTGTTGAAATGCAAGCTAATCTACATTTTTCTAGATCCAGCAAAGTGATTTGTACATTTAGCGAAGGGCCAGCTGGCTGAACACAGATTGCATCACTGGGAACTGAACAAATAATCACACAATCGCTTGATTCCTTGACAAAAACATGAGCGCAGCATATATGAGAGCAGCAGCTGCAGCATGGCACGTAGAGAAGGCAATGAAAGCGGTGAACAATCAGCGACCTTGACGTAGACGTCATCACCGAGGCTGTAGACGACGTTGTCGACCTTGGCGCTGCGGTAGTGACGCCTGGCCTTGACCTCCTCTTCCTCATCCGGCCTGCAAGCGCGACGAATCAACAAAAAAGACGGGGACGGAACAGGAAGCAAGCATCTGGGATTTTGAATCAAAAGCAAACCAGTGCAGGGGGGGATCTGTACCTCTTGGCGGCCGTGCTGCGCTCGTAGCGCTTGGGCCAGCTGCTGCGCGCCTCGGCCGCGGGGACGGGTTCGCCGACGAACTCTGGCTCGTGGTCGCCGACGGCGGCGGCGGTCCTTCTCCCCACCCTCTTCTTCCCAGGCGACCCTGCAGCGGCCGCAGCTGCTTCATCCTGCATGGCCTGCATGGCCTGCTCCTCCGCCTCGGCCTCGGCCTCCTCCTCGCCTATAGCCAACTCCTCCTCGTCGGGCTCGTCCGCGCAGACGTCGTCCTCCACGGGCTCCTCCCTCTCGGCCTCCCCCTTCTTCTTCCTCCCCGCCTTGGGCGGTCTGCCCTGCTTCGGCTTCTTCTCGGAAGAAGCCGCCGCCTTGCGACGGCGCTTGACGGAGGACGCCGCCGCGGCCTCCTCCTCCTCCTGGCTCTGGTGGATCTCCTCGGCCTTGGCAGCGCGCTTCCGTGCGGAGACGCGCGCGGGCGCGGCAGACGACGGGGAGCTCGGCGCCATGGCGAGGGTCGCGGTAGCTGTTGTGCCTGTCCCTTGGGGGATGTTGGGGAGAGGGGTTTGGGGGAAGAACGAGAGCTGAGAATGGCCTCTGGGGTTTTAGTAATCGAATCGAATCGAATCGAATCGAATCGAGATTGGTCTGAAATCTGAGAAGTGGGAGGGAGGGGACGGCGGCGGGAATCGAAATTTGAAAAGATGGGGAAGCGGCGGGTGAATATTGGACCGAGCGGGTCAGCGGGGCCCGTTTCTGCTGGAAGGACGGGCGGGCGCCGGGCAGACAGGAGTTTCGATTTTTCGTTTACCACCTGCAGGAGCGCAGTATGGCCTTTTAGGCCCGTTCACGTGCCCTTCAATCCGGCTTTGATTTATTTCTTTTTTTTATCTAGAACAGTATTTTTCTCTCATAAATTTCTCCAGCATTCTTCTAAACCATCCAAATTCTTTCAGAATTCCTCCAAGCGAACAAGCCCTTAATTCGGGACACTTTTATATCTGAAGTTTTGTCCACAGCTGTCGCCTTAATTATCGGTCATAATTTGCAACGCCTTAGAGAGCATCCCAAACAAGTCAGGGGTGTTTGGTTCTTGCTCCTAAAATTCATGTCATATCGAATGTTTAGATACTAATAAAGAGCATTAAATATAGATTAATTACAATACCAATTACATAGATGGAGGCTAATTTGCGAGATAATTTTTTAAGCCTAATTAATTTGTCATTGGCACATGTTTACTGTAGCACCACGTTGTCAAATCATGGACTAATTATGCTTTAAAAGATTCGTCTCGCAAATTAGTCGCAAGTTGTGCAATTAGTTTCATAATTAATCTATATTTAATACTCCATACATGTGTCAAACATTCGATGTGACAGGAATTTTAGGAGATGCTAAAGAACCAAACAGGGCCTTAGCCAAAAGAAATATCTAAATTTAGTGATTTTGATATTTTTGTAAAATGAATCCCTTCTTTAAAAAATAGACTACTCCAACAGACTATCTAAATTGACACTAATTTTGTAGGAGGTTTGCTTAATTTGACCATAATTTTGATACTAATGAAACCAGCCCCAGTCATGTAGGAGGTTTGCTTAATTTGACCATAATTTTGTAAATTGACACTGATAATTATCTCGGATGATTAGACAATTTGTCCTTCTACCCTACAACTCAAGGTGTGTCAACGATGGATTCTGAAGATGAATTCTATGATACAGTGTTCAATGAAGTCCTTGAGTCATCATCTTCGGACGATGAGGATGATTTATATGTTGCCGCTGCACACAAAGTAGCAGAGGCCAATGACAAGCAACCATATCGCCGAGGTTCTATTGACGGACATCGCGTATTGAATCGTGATAGGCAGTCCAGGCACTCTAGACTTTTTCAAGACTATTTCTCAGATGTCTTACGTATGGGGCGAACTATTTTAGGCGGAGGTTTGTACATTCCCCTCATAGTATGAAATTTCTTTTGTACATACGTACAGGTGTGGCTAATTAATTAGTCTTGTGCCATAGATTTCGAATGAGGCGTCATGTGTTTGTTCGTATAATGAATGCTGTTGAGGAGCATGATGACTACTTTGTTCAAAAGAGGAATGCAGCCAGTACCCTAGGACTATCTTGTTTGCAAAAGGTGGTGGCAGCATTTCGGATGATAGCTTATGGTGTAGCGGCTGATGCTACGGATGACTATGTTCGTATTGACGAGAGTACCGCTCTAAAATGTTTGAGAAGGTTCATCATAGCTGTTGTTTAAGTATTTGGACCTGAGTACATGAGATTGCCTAATGAACATGATACGGCTAGATTACTCACAATTGGTGAGAGCAGAGGTTTCCCAAAAATGCTTGGTTCTATAGATTGCATGCATTGGACTTGAAAAATTGCCATGTTTCATGGCATGGTATGTAACGAGGGCATAAAAAGGAGCCTACAATTATACTAGAAGCAATTGCCTCTAAAGATCTTTGGATTTAGCATGTATTCTTTGGGATGCCAGGCTCGCACAATGATATCAATGTTCTTCAAAGATCTCCTATATTTGCAAGGCTTGCTGAAGGTGACGGTCCACAAGTTAATTATAGCATCAATGGAAATGATTATACAAGGCATATATCCATCTTGGGCCACGTTCGTGAAGACCATACCAGAGCCACAAGGGAACAAGAAAAAATATTTTGTCAAGGCACAAGAAGCTTGTAGGAAGAACGTTGAACGAGCATTTGGGGTTCTACAAGCTCGCTTTGCTATCGTTCGAGGGCCAGCTCGTGAGTGGGATGAGGAAACGCTAGCAGCAATTAGGAAAGCTTGGATCATTATGCACAACATGATTGTCGAAGATGAGGGTATTGACGAAGATGATTTCAGCTATGATGAAATGGGAGAAAAGGTAACAATATCTCATAATGGTACACCTGAACTAGATGAATTCATCCAAAATTACAAGAACATTCAGGACAAGGAAACTCACACATAGCTTCAAGACGACCTTGTTGAGCACCTGTGGCAAAATCATGCAGATTTATATAAAAATATTATTGTTGAATGATTTTATTTGCTGTTAGGATATAATTTATTGAATGATTACATTTTCCGTTATAACGATTTATATTTCCATCCAGTTATTGAACAAACTGCGCACAAGGCTGTCAGGATTTGTGTTTTCATTCAGTTATTGAACAAACTGTGCACAAGACCATGTCTCATTCACAGGGAACAAATGCAGTACATCAGTCACACTTGTGGCAATCTGAGAACTAGGACTGCAAATATATTAATAGGGACTGCAAATATAGTTCACTCACAGGAACTGTTGATGTCGCAATCTGAGAACAAACACTTAAAATATATTAGACAAATAGAAACAATGGCACATCTAATTATTTAGGCGTCTTAGCACGAATTGCATTCTTGAGCACTTCATAGTACTGATGCTGGTCAGTGGACAAGTGACTTGTGTCGACATTCATAATTCTCTCTTCTTCTAGGTTCTTGGTGAGCTCAAATTGGTCCCTTTGTAACTCAAGTTTTTCTTTCTCCAGTCTGATCCTTTCTTCCTGCAATGCGAAGGCTTTCTTGTACCGCTCCTCTCCCGAAGGAGCATCAAAAGCCATACCAAATGCCCCCTTAGTATCGAATGTTTGGCACACTACACAAACTCTAATTTGTTTTAGTGTGCTTTTTTGCCATAGTTGTGGCGCAGATTTTCCACACCATAATCTGTGGTGCCCCGCAACCGTTGTGTGGCAGTGTGTCACTACTACAGATTGATATACCATTGTTGCCACTTTCACTGCTGTAGTGATAGAAGCGACGGTGTGATACTTCCACCTTGGAACGATAGCAAGGCCTCCTAGGAATGAAACCGACAGTTCAGACTTCTACCGCCGACGGGTTAACGATAGATGTGGCAGTGTTATTGGGGTTGCATTTTCTCCATCGCATGAAAAGCCAGGCTGACTGGGATACGCATTTTCGCCGCTGTCCCTAAACTAGCATTTGGTCAACCGGCGGTAAATTCAGCGTGAGTGTTGAATTGCCTCAACTTCCAAGACCGTCAAATCACCATTACTTTCGCTGCCTGAAGCCTAAGAGCCGTACCCACTGCTCTACATATACTTCAAGCCCAGTGCCCTCTGAAACCACTCCTCTTCTTCATCCATCATCCCCTTCTCTTCCAATCTTCAAAGAAAATGTTGGACAGCCCCATCAAGTTTCCAAGCAGCCTGTGGTCCAGTGAGGACGACTTGACTACCCACCACTCCTCCGAGGAGGATGTCTCCTTCGACGACTGGAGGTCTTTTGATTATAGTCCTCCGTGGAGCTCCGAGAAGGAGCACTCGAAGGAAGAGGACGAGGACGACGATGTCGTCGTCGTCGCCGTCGCCGCCGCCGACTCGCCTCCTCCCAAGCGAGTGAGGAGAGCATCATATTTAGATTAAGTAGTTTATAGTTAGTATAAGTAGTTTTAATAGTTTAGGTTAGTTATTATGTTTTCAGTCGAGTACAATCATATACTCGTTCAAATTGTATCTATATGTTAGATATATATAATGAATCAATGAAAAAAATTCTATTCGCATAGATTTGATCTCTTGAATGTCACCTTTTTTATATGAATGAAAATCAAGTTCTTTCCAATACTACTTCCAAAATGCCAGTGCACGGATTTGATTTCTCGACCAATGTTTTTGTTTTTCTATATATATATATGAATGAAAAGGAAAAAACTGTCATGTACGGTTGCGGTTGTTTCTAGGAGAATCTAAAAGTAGTTTAACTGCTGACAATCGTCATATTATAGCGTTGGATTAGCGTGGCAATGGTTGGCTTAATACAAACACTGTTTAACTTATCTCGTGCCATCCGTTCTCGCTGCAGATCAATCTGGACCATCCGTTTGGCAACAAACCTACAAGCGCCCGACTCGTTCCCAACTCCCCTCGGGCCCTGTCGGCGCCTTGGTGGTGGTTCGACCAACTAAAAAACCCCAATATGAATCCATTAGTTCTCCCCACCCGTTGTTGCTTCATCTTCATTCTCCCCACCCATTGCTTCATCTTTATTTTGACCCGTCGCCTATACTTGCCCTGCCTCGAGCACCTTGCATTATCGTCGTGGACAACGCCCTATGAAGGTTAGATGGATTCGGTCACCCCCCTGTTTGCATTTGGTTCCAATTGGTTTTGGGTTCAATATCACTTTTGTTCATATTAGGAATTTCTTGATTGCAACAGATGTCTTACTTCGGAAGAAGCCATTTCAATGCGAGCAACCTTGCGTTTTGGCAGTTAGGGGTGGCACCAGGACCCTAGATGATGTTGTTTGCTACTTGGGGACGGAGTATTCACCCATACCGACTGTTGATTGTTGAAGCCATTGTTCGTCACCTTCTCGGACCACAAAATTTGACAAGAGTCGTTGAAGACCCTGTTTGTGGAGAGATTTTTGTGCTTTGCAGGACTAGACAGGAAGTTGACATACTTTATAGATACAAT